TCTCTTCAAACCTGACAGGAGCCCGCCTGCATGATTAGATTCATTGGATATAGAGAGAAACACTTCTGCATATTTAAAGGTACAACAGAATATTTCAGGCTATAAATCAGCATGAAGTCATGAAGTCTCCATGCTGCTTTATGGAGTTACATCTCAAATATGAAAAGGTTTGAACCAAAAAGGGACTTTAATAGCATCGCTTTGATAACCAACTGCACATGAAGCTGTTGAACTCGACTTAGAGCCCAAAAAGACCTTTAAAAGTCACCTGGAGCGATAAAGGGCTGCAGGCCAGAAAATTCAGCAGCCAGTCAAACACGGCCTCAGCGTGGAACCAGCGGAGCACTTTGCTCCCTCTGCTGACCAAAAACAGCCTCACACAGCAGCCCTTATCTTCATCAAATACCAAAAATGGTTGAGAGTAAAATATTTTTATGAGGAGTGGTGAGAGTCTCATTTATCTCCTTGAATATGCAAATGCTTAATATGCATTACATTTGTGTAATAGAAATGTACAGCCACCATCTGTGTGCTTTTATATATTTATCTTTATGTAATCTCACTCATTTCTACATTGGATTTCTGAGTTATGTTATGAAGGTTTAATTATTAATAAATTAACTTAAAAAGTGCTAATGATAGAAAACGGATAGACACATTCACGTATAATTTAACAGGAATTGCTATGTTAAAAGAAAAAAATTATCTCAGACTACTAATGTGTAAAAACTATAAATAAATTGTTCCCCAATAAACAAATGAATACACTAAATATTTTAGATTAGAAAAAGTCCAGTATCTATGGTAATAACACTCATACGCGTGGTATTAAAGGCAGAGATCATCCTAAATGCTTCATGGTATAAAGTGATCATTTTTGTGTGCAAAAACATTCTTAATGAACACCCTCTGAAATCTTTCAGACAAATAATGTATTTTGCAGCCTTAACAGTACATTTAATTTCTGTCATGGTGCTTCAATTCCCTGCTAATGGCCTGGTTTAGCAATGATGACTAATTCAATATTCTAAGCTGTTGCCTAATGTTAAGCACTTCTCCTTCATACTGACTCACACCAGAAAGATGTTTCATCAGACAAACACTTCCGATCAACAGCTAATAAGCTTGTTTTTTAAACTGTGGTAGCAGTGGATCAGAATGACATTTTACCCTTATTCTTCCCACTGCTAAGATGGCTCACAAGCCCCATCTGGTGTTTGGCATTGTGACTGAATGCATAAAATGAGAGGATGTTGCTGTTATTGTAAGCAAATGACAAAGTTAAGTAGCACTTTAAAACTGAAAAATGTCACTTTGTTCTTTGATTACCATCCATCCATTTTTGCAAACGCTTATTCCCCAATGGGGTCGTGGGGTGTTTTTTGACTTGTTATACATATTATGTGATCATTAATATGAGCAACAGGAGTGCATCAAGGAAAGAAACATTGTTCCATATTAAAATTAAAGTACTCTTTAAGCAGAAATATACAAATTTATTCATACAATTTTACCTGACTGACATATTCAGTTTTCATCTATGAATTGATTTTTCATATAAATTCACTTGAATAAATACACATGGAATTGCCAAACAAAGTGGTCATGTCTGAATCTTTGTAACTATATTCACATTTTAATAAAAGTTATATTATATATTATAGAAAAATAAATATTTTCCTTGGCATTATAATTGTTGGAGCTAAATGAGAGAAATAATTAGAGGGAATGTATATACCCACACGTAGGTTACACGGTGTGTTTAAAAAGCATGCTGCACTTCCAATAAAGAAAATGTCATTTTGAATAAATGAATAATAATAAATAAATAACGTTTTGCTTAGAAAAACTAACAAGTGTACCTTTGCCTCAGGTCCACTAGATGGTGGGACTGCACTAACATGGCTAACAGCTTCCATCCCCCTGCATCATGGCTGCTCCCAGACATTTCATTTCACCATCACATTTCAATCATGGACTTTATCAGAAGTTATTGATATTTATAGTCTTCTTTGGACTGATATTAACAATCACTACAACAATTATAAAGTCGTTTTACTGCACAGCTATGCCGAAATTAAAGGAAAAATCATTCAAATACAACCGAGTAAGTTTTTTCCTTGTAGACAGAGACAGTCAAAGCCCATCAGTTTGCCAGAACGTCACATATGCGTGTGTGTGTGTGTGTGTGTGTGTGTAATGTTATTATTTTTTATTACACATGAAAGGAGAAATTAGGGGGAGCTATTATTCAACATTACCTTATTGAAATACATAAAGTGCGTTAACATTTCTGGGAATAACAGCACTGTCAGTGATTGCAAACGTTATACAATTTACACAGTGTGATATGTCTCTTGCCGGTTGGCATTTTTATACGTCTGAAAAAGAATTACCTGCTGGTGCAAAACCAAATACGATTAAATTCACGGATGATAAGTCGGTTGTGAAGTACATCCTCCAGAGAACAACATAGTGGCAAAAAATCGCAATTTGTAAGTTTAATCAAAGCTCCATAAAAACCTGGCGCATCACGCTTTTTTTCTATGAACTTTATTTGTAAAGGTTGTAAATACAGACAATTGTACATAGAACCATAGACATATATACATGTAGCCATGTATATACAGTCATGGCCAAAAGTTTTGAGAATGATTCAAATGTTAATACTTACAAAGTCTACAGCTTCAGTTTTTATAACGGCAATTTGCATATACTCCAGAATGTTAAAAAGAGTGTTCAGCATAACAGCAATTAATTGCAAAGTCATTATTTGCCTAGAAAATTAACTTTATCCCCAAAAACACAAAATGGCTCCAGGGCACCCAAGAAAGACCAGCAAGCACCAGGACCGTCTCTTAAAAGTGTTTTAACTGCGGGATCGGGCTACCAGCAGTAAAGAGCTAGCTCAGGAATGGCAGCAGGCAGGTGTGAGGGTTAGTATTAGGGTTAGGGTTAGGGTCAGGGTCAGGGTTAGGGTTAGGGTTAGGGTCAGGGTTAGGGTCAGGGTGTGAGTGCATCTGCACGCACTGTGAGGCGGAGACTCCTGGAGCAAGGCCTGGTCTCAAGGAGGGCAGCAAAGAAGCCACTTCTCTCCAGTAAAAACATCAGGGACAGACTGATATTCTGCTAAAGGTACAGGGGGTGGACTGCTGAGGACTGGGGTAAAGTCATTTTCTCTGATGAATCCCCTTTCCAGTTGTTTGGGACATCTGGAAAACGGCTTGTTCGGAGAAGATGAGGTGAGCTCTACCACCAGTCTGGTCTCATGCCAACTGTAAAGCATCCTGAAACCATTCATGTGTGGGGTTGCCTCTCAGCCAAGGGAGTCGGCTCTGTCACAGTCTTACCTAAAAACACAGCCATGAATAAAGAATGGTACCAGAAGGTCCTCCAAGAACAACTCCTCCCAACCGTCCCAGAGCAGTTTGGTGATGAACAGTGCCTTTTCCAGCATGATGGAGCACCTTGCCATAAAGCAAAGGTGGTATCTAACTGGGTCAGGGGAAAAAACATAGAGATTTGGGGTCCGTGGTCTGGAAACTCCCCTGAACTTAATCCCATTGAAAACTTGTGGTCAATCATCAAGAGACGGGTGGAAAAACGAATAACCTAGGTATTCTGACAAAATCCAAGCATTGATTGTGCAAGAATGGACTGCTATCAGTCAGGATTAGGTCCAGAAGTTGATTGAGAGCATGCCTGGGAGAATTGCAGAGGTCCTGAAGAAGAGGGGTCAACACTGCAAATATGGAATTGCTGCATTAACTCATTATAACTGTCATTAAAAGCTTTTGTTACTCATAATATGATTGCAATTGTATTTCTGTATGTGATGACAACATCTGACATACACACATGAAAACCAGAGGGCAGCAGATCATGTGAAAATATAATATTTGTGTCATTCTCAATACTTTCGGCCATGACTGTATGTCTATGCATAGAACAGCAGACTAGTGCTGGAATATCTATGCATCATGTGACCGAGGGTCCTAAAGTGGGCGTCAAAGATAAAAACAGAGAAAAACCCCAGAGCCAACACCGAATAAATGGAGTTCCCCGTTAGACTCACAAGTACACCTGGCAACTAAAGAAACAGATGAGGAACTTAGGGAAATAACTAATTTTATTATGCATATAGTTTAAAACCGTTTAATATTATATCCAAGAAGAATAAAAGCACCTGTTTAGACAAAGGCTTTAGACGTTGGTGGGCGAAAGAAACAAACCAGAGTTAGTAACAAAAATCAAACCAAACATTTAGTAACAAAACAACCCAAAAACTACCGTATTAACTAAAGCCCTAAATGACAAAGTGTAGTTTGGACCTTTAAGACTGGCTGGAGGAAACGCAGTTAAAAGCATAAGATAAGCACAGGCCCACTGACATTAAACAAACATTAGTCTCCTACTATTCACACTATAATGAGCTGTAATCCAGTCCAAACGCAGCACACAACACCTCCCAACCAGCACCGCTGCACACATCAGGCCAACCAGCACACTTCTGGCTGATAGCTGCCTCACACACGCTTTTACGCATCACAAATCATGGAGGGAAACGCGGCGTTTGAGGACCCACTACAGGGTGGGAAAACCTCATTGTCAGCCCCAAACAATTCAGGGCTGACGTGGTTACAATCAACAAAAACATATAGATAATAAATAAATCATAGTAGAATAATATTAGTAGTAGTGTCAGCGAAGCATAAAGAAAGAAAGAAAATTAGACAAAAAATGGCGCATCACACTCTATTTCAACGAACTTTATTTATAAAGGTTATAAATACAAACAATTGAATACAGAAAATCACACTATGGCTCGAATATTTATGTACCAACAGAAATAGATAGATAACAAATAAATAATAGTAGAATAATATTCTAATAGTATTATTAGTAATGTCAGTAAAGCATAAAGAAAGGAGAGAAAAAAATGACGAAAAAATGGCGCATCACGCTTTTCAAACCGGGGCTCGCGTCGGTGACGTCACATCCGGCGGGGCTGTTGGCGGGCAGATCGGGGCTGATTGTATTTGCCCACAGCGCGGCTAACATTATTGTGTGAATCAGCTAGCAGCGTTTCAGGGAAAAGTATTGCATATACACGCCGGTGAACTCCTAGGTATCCTTCCCCGTTCTGGTTTTGGATCTTCAGCCTTGTTAGGAAGCGGGTTAATCGTAGGATTTTCCCTTGGGCCTGCTCTTATCCAAACAACCTTCTAAAGATTTTCTCTCTAAAGGTAAGGCTAGTGCTAGCTAGCATGTCGAAGCAAAACATGCCAGCCATGTTGCCCTCTGGATGCAGGGGCCGGCCAGCTAGCTCCTCTGGGAGTGCGTGTTGTCTCTTATTTGACACGGTTCCGTATTCGGCTCAAAGTTATCCTACCAGGCATATTTTAGCCGTTGTGGCTGTGGAGTGAGCTCGTTCAGCGCTCACGACTTGAAGCTTGCGTGGGGGGGTGGGAAACAGCACGTGCTTCACTGGCAGTCACGGAAAGGGAGAATCCACGCACATGTTTTGAGATTGTCTGCCTGTTAATTATTCTTACAGTATTCCACGGATTGTGACATCCACTCATGTTTTTGGCGTGGCTGGGATGGGACTCATAATGACGTGTGCTAGTTGAGGCAGAAACCCTACAGGTTAAGTTCCACGAGTTGTAAAAATGGGTGTGTGCACATTGATCTGGAGGCAGGGACACTGGAGCTCTTCAGTAAGAATTTATTAACCTGAATAACTCTCTTCCTGTCCTCCCGTTCACTTCCAGAGGGGCTGGAATGGACTTTTTACGGTAGAAACCACTTACCTTTGAGTTTCTCTGCTTAACACAACTGATCCAATACCAGGCTCTCCAAAAGCCTGTAAAGGCCCCATTTTACTCTGAGGACTGAGACATGTTTTTACAGACTTGTGTCAGGCAGCTTGAACTGAGCATGTTCAGTCTAAGGAGGACCTTGCTAGTTTTTCCTTCCCCCGTTTAACTAAACAAACTTTAATTTCTGTCTGGAACTTGACCTGTCTGGTAACCTGTTGATCAAGTTTGTAATTGAACAAAATGTTTCAAAAATATTTGTTGATTAATTATTGTAAGTGCTGATCATAAATGGCGTTTGCCTCTTTTTTCTGAAAGTTGGTGTAAAATGTGTTTGCTTTAAATGTTTAAAACATTGTTAAGGAGAACATTTTATTCATAAAAGTGCTTCACTCTGAATGTTTTGCGGAGTGACTCATTCTGATGCCCTCTGTCACCCCCCTGCATGCATCCTCACCGGTCCACAACAAGTGCCCTCTGCAGACGTCAAACTGGCCACCGTAGCAGGAAAGAAGGGCAAGAAGGCTGAGGAGGAGGAGCAGCCCATACAGGCAGCAGCAGCGGCTGCAGCTCCAGAACCAGCAGCCGCTGCAGCAGAGCCAGCAGCAGCCCCTGAGGAAGAGGAGGAGGAGGAAGAGGAGTATGTGGTGGAAAAGGTCCTGGACCGCCGAGTGGTCAAGGGGAAAGCGGAGTTTCTGCTGAAATGGAAGGGATTCTCCAAGTGAGTACCAAAATGTGCTGCTTTACCTACTTCATCCCGTTTTGCTTTTGTCTTCTGTTGATCTCTGGCTGTTCCAGTATAATACCAGCAATATATAGTCGTCTGTCCATCCTACTTCTCACTTCTGGTTGGGTTGCAGCTGTCAGTGGGTGAGAGGCAGGTACAGCCACTCCTACAACCAGTTTAAAATGACCACACCGTCTTTGTTATAGAAAAACACTTTGTGACCAAAGTGTTGCACATCAGTTCAAACCCATGAAACATCAGAGCTCACAGCTAGAAAGCATAAAAACATTAGAGATGGGAGAAATAAAACCTAACAAGCAGTCAAAATCAATAGATAATAAACACCCCTCTGAGGGCGAGCTCTCATGGGCGATTTCGGGGCCCTTTCCAGAGCTTTGGGTCACCACCGGGAGCATCTGTTCTGCTGTCCTGTGGACACCAGCCGGGGTGGGGCCAAACGGGCCGGACCCAGACTTACAGACAGATGAAGGAACTTTAAAACGGACCATGAAGTCTCTGATTGTTTGGCCATGGCCTAACCGAGACCAGTAGACAGCAGGTGTCAGCCACAGATGTGTTAGGATCACGGGATAGGAACTTAGCAGAGGTTGTGAAAACCTCCACTAGCAGACACACGAGGCCTTATCCTCAGTTCTGTTTAAGACCAAGTCTGTGTTTGTGTTACACCTGCAGTGAGGACAACACATGGGAGCCCGAAGACAACCTGGACTGTCCAGACCTTATTGCAGAATACATGCAGAAGCACAAAGAGAAGGAGGAGAAAAAGAAGGAAGGCAAAAGGAAAGCCAGCGAGGCTTCCGGCGACTCGGAAGAACGAGGAAGTAAGAGAAAGAAGGAGGAGGTAAGCAGTAGGCCTGCCGGGCCTGGGCTCAGAGCTTGGGAGGGGCCACCACCCTAGGGTTGTCCAAATGTTGTATCCGGATACGATACTCATTTTCGTATTGATATCAAAGCCGCGCGCGCGCGACGCTGACCTGCCGTCGCTGCCCCCCTTCTCTCTGATTTATTTATGTATTTATTTACGTTGTTTATGATCATTAACAAGACGTTAGCCTTGAACTGCTAGCTGCGGCTAATGGCTAATAATAACATGCTACCATTAGTCAAGTACATATCCAACTCCGCCCACATCCAAGTCAGCCATTTTGCTTACATCACCAATAGGAAGATTCCAGGCAAGAAAATCCTAATTGCTTCATGGCAATATAGACATTAATTTAAAAATAGTGAAATGAATCTTTAAAACACTTAATTAAACTCTATCCATAATATCATGTTAAAATAGTGTATGTTAAATGTGTTTGTACAAGAATTCCAAACAAGTTTAACCAAAAAATATTTCTTTCTCACAATTATAAAGGGTGGAGGGTTAGGGTCATTAATGCGGGCCACCAGTCACCATAACGTCAGTAACAAGTCAGTTTGAAATAAAAGACACTAACCTGTCAAAATTCAGTTAAATTTTGGGGTCTTTGTTTTTATCCTTGTGGTATCGAAAATGGTATCGGGTATAGAGTATTTTCCTGAGTATCGGTATCGAGTTGAAAATTTTAGTATCGTGACAACCCTACACCACCCCCACTCCTCATGAGCCCCTGCCAACCCCTTATCCTGCCTCCTGCTGTGCTCCTCTCTCAGGGGGAGAAGGCCAGAGGCTTCGGCAGGGGGCTGCAGCCGGAAAGGATCATCGGAGCCACAGATTCCAGTGGAGAGCTGATGTTCCTCATGAAGTGGTGGGTGCTGCTTCCAGCTTCTCAAAGCCTCTGGGCAGCTTCTGCTTTTCCATAGGAGTTGTCTTTCTCTGCACCACTCGGTGTTAAGAGGGAGTTCTGTCCTTTATCTGGCTGCACCACAGGCCTTTGAGAGGCCAGTCCGGTGAAAAGGCCTCTGCCCTCTTTCTTTTGGGTTGTCTGTGCAGGGATCTTGGTTTTAAAATGGAGAAATCTGCGTTTTTATCTCCTGAAACAGGAAAAACTCAGATGAGGCAGACCTAGTCCCAGCCAAGGAAGCCAACGTCAAGTGCCCCCAGGTGGTGATTTCCTTCTACGAGGAGCGTCTCACATGGCACTCGTACCCCACAGAGGAGGAGGAGAAGAAGGAAGAGGACAAAAAGGACTAGGTGATGGGAGCCAATGCCAGGAGGAGGAAGCAGTGTTGAGTTGCAGGGCAGGAAATCAACAACACAACAGTGACTCTGAGCTCTGCTTTGTTGGCAAAAGTGTGAAAGGATGGCTGATGGAGGAGCATTTGTTTTCCTGCCTTGCAAAGAGCTGTCAAAAAAGGCTCCCACCTTTATATGAGTGAAAGTGATTTAGAAGGCGGATGTCTGCTGTGCTGTGTGCTGGGATCTGGTGCTCCTGTTGTAATTCCAGATGACTGAAACTCTGTTCCCTGTGATGTAAAAGGGCCTGAAGATGAAAGTGTTGAATGCACACAGTTTGTCTCTTTCACACAGTAGTGTTTTTCTAGAAGGCAACTGGCTGATGGTGCACAAAGATGCCTCACAGCTGGCTGGCTGGCTTTAGGATGCACAGGTGGGAGCTTTTTTTGACAGCTTATCACAGGAGAAGGCAAAGCATCTGTTCTCTGTGCATCCTGCTCTGTCTGTTCCTCTGGACCCACAAACATCAGCTCACTGTACCTTGTGCTATGAAATGGACTACCAGAAGTGACAGGCCGATGGAATCAGTACCAGTTGTTGGTTTTGTGTACTTCAGGGCAGACACCAGAGATGTGTGTGGAACAAGGAAAGTGACACATTTGACACCAAAAAGACGAATGTATTCCACCCTAAAGTATCTTTATCTGAACATGCCTCCTGAGATCTGACAGATGTTTGCTGCTTTCGTCCCTGTGTCCCCTTTGGTGTGAGCGGTGCACAGTTGTTGTTGGGTGTGGCTGTGGCCGGCTGCTTTGCTCTGCTGGGGTCAGACTCTGCTGCCAGTGGAGCGGCTGCTGGGGCACAGTGGGAACACTGACAGCAGACGGCTCCACAGGGAGCAGGTCCTCTGCACCTGAGGCAAAGGCCTGCCCCCACCCCACCCATCCAGGTGTCCCCCTGAAGACGCAGCTAACGCACACTTGAGGCCATGCGTGTTTCCTATTCTGTGTTTCTGCCTCTGTTGCCTGGTGGGAACATGGGAGGGCTTCTCCATGCTTCATTTGTTCTGCTTTGCCACAAACTCGCCAACACGAGGAGTACTTTCCCACTCATGTAGAGTTAGCACAGCTAGCACTAGCCTCCTGTTTCAGCCCTGGATCAGCCTGCTCACGCATCTCTTCAGAACGGTTTTTAATAGGTGACTTTTATTGGGACTGGAACCGATCATGGGTGAAAATGGGTTTTGTTGTGGTCCACCTCATGCTTGTGATTAAAACTCAGTGCACAGATGTTTTTTTAATGCTTTTAAAACCAGCTCCCTGTGTTTCAGCTCTGCCTGTCGGAGCCCCACAGTGTTAGTGTGAAGCACTAACTCCTCCACTCCCAAGCAGACTGAACTAGCTACATCCAGGTGTGCTCCCTAGCTTTTGTATCTCCTCTGCTTTTCTCTGCTTTTTTAGTCTGATTTGTTGCATGTTTGTTGAACTACTTACCCGTCTGATTTGGACAATAAATGTTTATGGATTCATAATAACTTGTCTACTACTTGTCTCTGTCCTGCTTTCCCAATGATTTGAATGGAGGCCAACAGTTCTACAGTACGGACACACAACAGATGCAGAGGGCTGTCTTTATTTTTATTACTACTGGATGAGCAAGCGTGGACCTTATTGGTGCGTATAGCCTCTGATGGGCTGCACCAGTAACGGCTGTTTTACATTTTGCCTGGTCCTAGACCTTCTCCTGTTCCTGTCTGACATGAGCTAGCGGCCCACCGGCCCCAGAGGCAGGGGTCAGCCTCCGGGCTCAGCAGCAGCTGAACTCCAGCCACCGCCTGTGTCAAATATGGTGCCGGAGCTCTTCGTGTCCTCTGTCCAGTCTCCCCTCAGTGTCAGCGACTCTGTTTCAGCCAGCTTGAGCAGAGCTCCTGCCGTCTCTTCCTCAGATGAGTGTTGTTGGTTTGAACCAGGAGGAGCTGAACCAGGAGGGGACTCTGTAGCCGCTGGCTCCCCGATCGCTGTGCTGTGTCAGGCCTTAGACCCCTTCCACGGCTCTGGAGGGAGACCTTTCTCTTCTTCTTACCCCTTGCTTCCTTGGGGTTTTCCGTCACACCGCGTCACTGGTTATGCTCCCAGCAGGTCCAAAGGGGAGCAGATGCTGTTTCTCATCCCAGAGCCTGTGAGATGTGTGATGGTGAAGCATTCCCAGCCGCCTCTGCATTTCCCTCCAGTCCCTCAGGGCCTCCTTCTTCTGCCTGAGCAGCTGTGACCTCTGCCGCCTCAACCTGGAGACGTCCTGCTCCAGTCCCAGCAGCACTTGTTGCTTCCTCTTCCTGCAGTTATGGGCGGCTATCTTATTCTTGCCGCGCCGCCTGATGTCCCTGACGAACAGCAGCTGCTTCTTGGTGAGGGGGAAGCTGCTGAGCAGCTCCTGGAGGTCCTCCACAGACAGGTCAACTATGAGCTCAGGGGGGAAGGGGATCCTGAGGGACTGGGCGCGCTGCCCATCCCGGCCCCTGGTTCTGCCCCGGGGAGGGCGGCGCTGGTATGGGTTGCTGTTTTCACATCTCACAGCAGGTTTGGAGCGTCTGTGGTGCCTCTTGACCAGAGAGGGAGGAGAGCCGGAGGACTGGGTATAGGTGTGATCATGCCCAATGTGCCCCCGGCAGAAACAGCCATGCAGCGCTTTGTGGAGCCCAAAGTCTCTGCCGTCCTCACAACACCCTCCGACTGCTTCCTGCTTTATCTCCTCCACCTCCCAATCCCAACCATTTAGGTTTGCCTCAGCATGCTCGTCTTCAGAGGCGGGGCTCCGGCTGGAGCCCAAAGAGAGGCCGCTGTCCCGCTGCGCGCCACCCACGCCTGGAACCAGGAGACCAGAGCTCACAGGTTCATAGTGAATAGTTCCTGTTCCTAAGTGACCCTCTGGCCTACCTGGTTGGTCCTGAACTGGTGTGGAGGGGAAGTTTCTGCTGGGGTTCTGCTCAGCTACCTCATAGGCGGGACAGTCAGACAAGCCGATGCCATCCACTGTAGCGTCCTCCAGGAGGCCAGTGAGTGGGCTGCAGAGACCATATCCATCCCCCTCATGCAGCAGGAAGGCACTGGGAGGAGGGTCCACAAGGCTTTGGGCCATCAGCAGTGGGTCAAAGCCGGGGGGGAAACTTGGAGCAGCCAGTTCAGCTTGAAAAAGTCTCTTAGGTTTCCTCATACACAAATCGTCCTGTGTGTTCAAAGTCCTGTCGTAGGCAGCCCTGTGATCCTCTGCATGTAGTCCCATGGACAGGTTTTGTGAGGCATCCTGCAGGGAGTCCATGCTCCAGCTGGTCCACGCGGTCACTGGGCTCAGAAGGGAAGGGTGGTCGTCCAGCTCTCCACTGGGAGTCAGAGGAAGCAGGGCTGACTCTGGGGGGCACAGTGGGAAAGGCATTAGGCTTAGGATGGAACCAAAGCTGACACAAAGGGACTCCCAGGTGTTTAACAGGGAGCACTAGCAAGCAGAGCCTTTTTATTTGTTCCAGGCTCCCAGTTTGGAGCAACATGACTAGCCCAGTCATACCAGGGCACAGAGCAGGTCCCTAAAGACCTGATGAGAGGTTAGTGTGGATGGCGTGGCCTGCAGAGTCCTGACCGTAACCCTCTGAAATAGCTGATGGATGGATCCGAGCAGAGGCTCAGAGCATGGCTCTTAGGCTCCTTTAAGCCAAAGCCTGGATGTCAGCCGTTTTCAGTGCTCTGTCAGGAAGGAGGTGGTTTCTGTCCTCCAGAGGTAGCCGATGGCCCCCCTGGGGAGGGTGTGCTTTATGACCCCAGCCCTGACTGATCTCACCGTGTGGCAGAGTCCCTGTGAGTGGGTTCAGGTCAGGCCGAGCGTCAGTCCCACATGGGCTGGACTCCCCATCACCAAGAGCTGACACCGTCATTTCCTCAGGTGTGTTCTGAAAAAAGAGGTCAAATCAAAAGCATCCCAGTGAGACCTTTGGCCTTTCCCCCCCCCCCCTCAAAGCGTTTGCTGTCCTGCTCTCACTGACCGGAGGCTCCAGCAGGGCCAGCAGGTCCTGCCAGTGGACCTCCAGGGACTCATCAGGGGGCTGGAGGGGGACATCTTGTGAAGTCTGGTGCTCAGAGCCCCAACCTGTTCCTCCACCTTCAGACGGCTGCAGAGAGAGGGCGGGCACAGCCACTGAGGACAGGTCCCAGCTTTGGTCACTTCTCCACAGGGTTTTTTTCTGTGATTTTTAAGGGGAACTGGCATCGTTTCTACAGTTTTTATCTGCACCAACAGATTCCACAGAGAACTTTCCAATGCTGTCATGAGCAGCTGCAAACATCTGTTCAACCAGAGCCTGAGGAGGCCACACCATCCCACGCAGCCGCGCATGCTGAGGACCCAGCCGGAGCACAAATACAGAGCCCACCAGCTTAGTGGAGTGAGTCTGATGGAGTCTGGGCTGTGAGCCAGAGGTGGGCTTGTTTACATGTGTATATGCTGTTTGTGTTTGGGTGCAGTAAACAAGGATTGCTAAACTCTGGCTTCTAAATGAGCATGCAGCTGAGCGCTGATCAGCTTTCAGGCCAGGGGGGCTGCCGTCTTCAGGGGGGGGGGGGGCAGCCTGTCCCAGACCTCGGTGTTCTATATCTGGTGGGTGTGCTGTGGGCCGGTATGCAGACGGGACACAAACAGTAATGGAACCCAGGGGGTCAGAGGTCAGCTCGTCTGTTCTGGGCTGGAACCTGGAGCTTATGTTGACATCTGATTGTCCCAAACATGAGCAGTAGCTGCTGACTGTTCCACAGGAACAGAACCGGAGCTGACCGTCCCACTCTGACCGACTACCCTGTCCTTCCTGTAGGTCTTCTGAAGCCAACACTAACACCAGTAACATCCCAGAGAGCATGAGGCATGCTGCCCTCTGTCTGGAGGTGTGAACTGTGGGGGCATTTGCCTCCAGAGGTCCATCATGAACCACAGACCAGAGGAGGGAAAAATATGTTTCTGGATTGTTTTAGGTTGTATTTTAGAGTTTCATAGTGAAAAAAAACTCCAATTCTGTTGTTGACGCTGTTGGGATTTGGATATTTAGAAGGAACTAGAGCAAGAACCCCTCCAGCAAAGTCAGCATCTCCTTGACCAGGAGGTATCCTAACCCTGATTCAGAGTGCCCAGCTCTGTACATAGCTGCCTCCCCGTGTAGTTAAGCTACACACACACACACACGCACACACACACAGACACAGACACAGGCCTGTTCTGTCATGAGCACAAAACAAGAAAAAGCTCAAGCACATGCTCTGAAATGAAGACCTCTACTATACCTCATGTCCTGCTTGTACTGGGGGGGCCCTGGGCTCTCTCTGGACCTCAGAGGGGGTCTTCTCCTGCAGGGCCAGCTGGCCTGGACCCTCCACAGGAATGGGGTCTGGCTCCTGCTGGACCAGCCATGTCTGAGGGGCCTGTGGTAAAGGAGCAGACCACCGATGGAGAAGCTGTCCTGTGGCTTATGCTGGTGGGCAGAGGAGCCTGTGTCCCTGTGTGGGTCAGGAGCAGCCTGTGTCCCTGTGTGGGTCAGGAACGCCGGTAGAACCTTTAGCCCTGGGAAAGAGGCAGCCGTGCACACCCACCTGCAGTGTGTCCGGGGAGCAGGCCCAGCCCAGCAGCCTGCCCAGGCCGGGGAGCCCCCCCCCACCCAGGTCCAGACTGGTGGGGGGGGCCCTGGGGAACGGGGGCCTAGTCTTCCCTGAAGCCTGGATCTGCTCATGCCAGAAGAAGGGCAGAGGGAAGTCCAGCCCCCTCAGTCCACAAAGGGTCAGCAGGACGGCTGAGAGGTCTTTCTCCAGCTGCAGCATGGCCTCCGCTCTCCAGCACTCAAACTCCAACTGCTCTGTGTGAGGATCAAGGAACACACGTGCACAGAAGCTGTCATTTTTTGTACATTTCTTGGATGAAACTGTTCAAATTTAAGTCTACAAATGATGCAGAGGTAATGGTCCATTCTTATCGCTTAGCAACGGGCCGACAGCTGCATCCAGCTGAGAGCATCATCGTTGTTAGGAACATTTTCAGCTTTCTTTCTAGCAAATGAGACTTCACAGGCCAGGCATTGCACAAAAATACCAGATCACAAATGAAAATGCTGATTATTTTTTTCCCAGCATATGAGCTGTTCTGCCTGACTTACACACACACACACACACATACACACACACACACACGTTTACAGGTTATTAACTGACATACTTTAACTTCTGGTAACCCTTTTGTCTTGTGCTCATGGTTCTCTGGGGATTGGTCCTGCCTGCTCAGCAGAATCGGGTTTGTCCTTTTGGTGGCTGGCGTTAGCATGTTAGCATGCCCCGCAGACACATGGAGGCTATGTGAGCCTCTGGGGTGGGGGCTGCTTTCTTTAGCTCCCCTGGGCTTCAACAGAACCAGCTTGCTACTCTTGGCCTTGGTGTGACCCCCTCCTGCTGGCGGGGGGGGTGTCAGAGACGAGGCCCCCATGGGGCGGGGCTGCTCCGGGGGCCGTCCAGGCTCTGAACTGACCTATTTCCAGAGTGTCCTCCCCTTACCCAGTGATGCAACAGCCAGTGTTTACATGAGAAGCCTGTCCATGCTGCCCACTCCCCCCCCCCCCCAGAGCCGCTGCTCTCTAACCCTGGTACGGACTCTACTGCCACCATTTATGTCCACTGCAGGGAGAGTGGTCACCTCTCTGAATGCCTTCATCAGTTTGTCCTGACCTGCACGATCTCCTTATTCTGCAGGAAGTCCTTTAACATCCTGTCAATTAGGCTATTCTCATAACTTCTGTTTGTCCTACCACAGGACAGATAAAGTCTCCCTTTTCTCACTTAAAGAGCCAGAGGCCAGCTTCTGGAGAAGACTCATTTCAACTACACAACAGACCCCATATGAACTCAGTAAATAAAGCTTCCCCGGTGTGGCTGATGGCCGTCAGACCGGCTCCATCTCCCGGGGCTGCTGCTGGACCCTGCCCCCCTCCCTCTGGGTCCAGGCTGGCCCGGCCTGCGGTCACAGCCGGAACCGGCCGCTGACCGTTTACTCAAGTTCTCCCCCAGCTGTCCCGTCCCTGCGGAGAGCCACCGGCCTCTGTCTGAACCTGTAAACCGGGAACCGGAGCGCGGTTCTCTTACCGGGAGTCCGTCGCGTGTGCTGGTGTCCGCGCCTCCCCCCGCATCTCTGAGCTGCGAGGCGCCGCGAGGGGTCTTATAAAGCAGCCGGGGGG